GGAATTTCTTTTCTCCCATGTATTCAAGAATCGCAACAGATTCTATATATATACAAAAAGAGGCCTTATATAAGATTGAAAATGTATCTGCTTTCTTTAAGTAAGCTAAACACCTTCTCAATCATAAGGGAAAGGCAAATACCAGTAAGTTTCAATATCTGCATAAAATTCCTTCTTATGCAATATGTGGATCAGGAGTCTTTTATTCAAAGAAGAAGTCAAAGAATTTACTAAAGAAGTAAAGGTCTACTATGTGAAATAGAATAACAGGCTATTTATCATGTAACAAGCATAAGCCATTTGTATATGCCATTTGCTTTGAGGAATGATACTTTCACTTAGGTTCTTAGAAGAATACCAAACCCAGTAGAGTTGTTACCAAAGAATCTGAGCTACTAAAAAAGGAAAAGATTCGAAAAATTCAGCCTGACCAATGGCATAATAAAGGTGAAAAGATTTATGGATCAGATCCTAATGTCGTATACTGGCCAAAAAATAGGCATTGCAAATCAATTAAAAATATTACCGAGAGTACTGCTCTATCAATTTGTGATCCTATTATAAGATTCCAAGTTTCATATTTCAATAGAGGTGGTAGTTCTGGAAAGATAACATGCGCAATCTAAATCTTTAAAGATATAAATATAGTAGTCTTTACTCATACGAATGCATTAGCTAAAGACTTCCAGAATAATCATAAGGTAAAAGCCTAAACTTGGTATAGCTTCTTTAGGTGAAATAATATAGAAGAGTGGATTCCTGAATACATGGGAGAAAAGAAATTCCCACGAGTTGTCATCTGGGATGAAGTATGTACAGTGCCTAGACATATTCTAGAAAAGTTTATCGACTATTTACTAGAGCAAAAATGTTAGATAATCTGTTGCAGGGATGATACTCAACCTTCACTATTTTTCAGAAAAATGCCTCATAACTGGTTAAAAGAGTAAGCTGATTATTATGAGGAAGTCTTGACTGATTATAGGGTCAAATGCCTTAAACTGCAAAAGCTTAAGAAAAAAATGCAACGTTAAAATAACAGAATGCAGTCAGACCTATTCTGTGAAACACTTCTAGTCACAGAAAAATGGGAATATCTCGAAGCTGAATAGAAGTTATCAGATCATATCTTATCAACACATTTATTTTCCCGAAGAATTGCTTCTCAAAGATGCTTAAAACTTTATCAAGAAAAATATTCTGATATGCTAATCCTATTAATCTATAGGCTAAGAGATGGATGCAAATAAAATTGTCTTATTCCAATCCTTGGTTCATCCAAAAAGAAAGAGTTAGTGAAAAATGACATAATGAACTTATCCTTAAATACACTTCCTGATAAATTCTTAAAAGATATATTAGCAGATAAAAAAGACATAGATTGGGAACTTGGATATACTATGACTATTCATACTAGTTAAGAAATGACCCTCAAGGCTCCACAGCATGTTTGGGTCATTGATGAAAATCTAGTCTGAAATAATCTAATATATTTAGCAGTTGATTGTGTGGAATATTTAAGCTAACTCATTTGGGTTGAAACACTTTCATTACCTCCTAAAATTGCCTAAGAGATTGAGGAGACAAAAAAGAAAAGACAGTTAGAGTATGAATTAAAACCGTTTGTTCAGGAAAAACTTATCAGATATATGGGCTAGGACAAGGAAAAAGGCTGTGAATTTGATCTAACAGTTGACTATATTCTCACATTAAAACGTATTCAAGAAGACAGATGCATATTATGCCTTATAGAAATAAAATTCAAATGGGATCGGTCAGGAGACATATTACAATAGACAGTAGATCGAATTTATAATAATTTGGGGTATATCAAAGGGAGTATACACTTAACTTGTCTTCTTTGCAACTGAAATCATAGAGTCTAATTTATGCCAGTAATCTGGATTAGTGATATAGTACATATATGCAATCAGAGAAGGTAAATCACAGTATTTACATAATTGTAAGATTTTTTCTGACACAATAAATATTCAGTTTATTTTTTTCTAGATATGAAAAATGCCTTCTAAAAAGTATCATATATATTATTCAGAAAAAGTAGATGCTATTCAAGAGATCAAAGAGAACATTATAACGTTAGAATATGATGTAACTAAAATACATCAAAATCTTAAAAGAATTGGTTGAGAAATCTGTTATCTATATAATGCTATGACTGAATTATCTGAGTCCAGTTCATCTGATTCAGATTATGTATCATCAAAAAAGAAGGTAAAATCTAGAAGAATCTGGTTTGAACAGTTCGATCTAACTAGTCCAGAATAATGATCATCAGCTCAAAAGAATCATTTTTCTGATTAAAAAAAATCTAATCATATATAATGCATATAGCTAATTTTCTTGATCTTCTTCTACCTGAACTAATACCATTTATTCTAAAGAATTTACCAATATAGGATCTTAAAAAATGTTACAGTATAAATAATATGTGGAAAGATGAGGTGGTTCGAGAAATTTGCAGAAGAGTAATAGTAGATTGTATATTCATTAATGCTAAAATAACTGTCAAAGCACTGATTGACCTTAAATCCCACTTAAATAGTATCAGTAAAGCGCTTGCTAGAAAAATGGGTTTATATATATCTAGGGAGTTTGGATCAAAATATCCTGCAGTGAAAAGCCTTGGTATTAGAGCAACTAATGTTGGCAAGAAAGTAATGGTAAGAGGCTGGCTTTATGGTGAAAAAATTTCCATTTCTATTTCAGATATCTTTGACTTAAAATCACAAAGTAATACTTTACTTCAATGTTTGGGAAAATTAACCGAGAAGTTTTTAGTTATTGACAAGCCTGAATATGATGTAGTTTTAGGAGTAACGTGGTTATGATGTGTAAAGGATAGAATTGAAGAATACATTAACCCAAAACTAAAAATATATATGTATACTTCTGAGTGGTATAATATGAGGAATAGCGTTAAGAAAATTATTATTTCATTGCAAATATTTTACGAGTTAATATGTCCAAATTTTAAAACATACGATATTGATCAGAATGTCTCAATTGACCTAGACAAATATTGCAATTCGAGCTATTCTGAAACAGAGACAGAAACTGAATCTATTTCTTCTGATTTAAGTTATTTTTCTGAGTCTGAAGTGGAGGAGATAGTTGCATCTGAATGCGGTTCATTTGAAGGAATGATTTTAGACTGCTGAAATTTGCTATTATACAATCCAGCCAAATATGATGCTGATCTTAATATGCATCAAAACATTTAACCGAATGCTGATCCTGTGTAATTAGACGAGCTCAGATATAATGTAGATCGATTGTAGCTTGATAAATAATGTGCAGTAATATTATGGTAACTGTTACATTATCACAGAAATAAGCAATTGCGTATAATAATTTATTCTTAAACTTTCTCGTACATTTTCGTGTATAGCCCTTGATGATCTTTACATATGGATTATGTATAGTGTTAAATTAAGAAGAAGCTGTTGATCAGATTTTCGTGATGCGATCATATTAATATAATTTTTTCCTAAGCATGTTCCAAAATCGATTCTGCGAATCATATAAAAAGGTGATGTCCTGGTTAATGAACTCTTTTATCTGTCTTGCGCAATTAAAGCAAAAATCAAACGAAAAATAAAACTTTATACCATTATAAACATCATCGAAATCAACAATCAAAACAAACTCGCATATTCTGCAAAGTTATAATAAGGTAAGTTGGTTTTATTGCTTGGCTAGCTTCTTAAAACATGTCATCATGATCTTAATCAATTTTCCGCTATAGATGTTCCATAATAAAACGGTCTTCTTATTATATAGCATTTTGATCTTTGCTGAGAAAATCACTGATCATCATCACGCGTATAATAAACTATTCACATGAATCTTGTCACATGCCTTAACATCACGCTCCTCAATAAAATTTGGCGCAGTGTGTCTAATAAATTTTTAATAATAACCATCTTCACGTGCCAAATTCTTGGTAATTGGTGCAGGCAATAAAAAAATCGAATTACCTTTATTGTAATGCATTAAGTAATAAATTTCAGGTGGAATGGAATGTTGCGAA